GCATTTTGCCAAAGATACAACTTGCATGGGTGGTGTGTGATATTGTTGAGTTTTGCTGACACTTAATAAAGTCAAAACTTCAACTTCTGTGTTGTCTATCAAAAAGCAATATCAGCAATTGACATATTTATCAAGTGACATAGCGAAGTTACAGCTTGCTTGATAGGTAGCTTATGGGAGGCACTGAGTCTCTGGAGACAAACAAATAAGCTGAAGGAAAATCAGTGGGCTTCTCAAGAATGTTGAAAAACAGTCCTTCTTGTTCTCTTCTTAACCTTTATACCCTACTGTCAGTATGTATATTCTCCATACATTTCCTAAGGTGCTGACAATGAGAATTAGTTTACCAATCAAGAGCTTCTCTGGTTAGTGATCATTTTTTTAATTCTCTTGACCTCAAAGTGTTATTGAGCTGTAATATTGTCAGGGGAAATTAGATGCTGATCCCTCTTGGGGGTGATTGTCCACTCAAACTTACAGCTGAGGAAAAGCTACACATGTACAGGCCAGATTGTAGAGGATACCAAACTTAAAACGATACCCACTTTTCCATGTGCATTTTGAGATTTTATTCACTTGTAATGATACTTTATTTTCCTCTTTTTTTGAATACTATCATTTGTTTCCACAAAAGGTGCCCATATGTGTAAAATTCCTTGGAGACCATCTTGAAGAGACTGAATAGAAGAAGTGACTTTCAAAGTCACTTCATTACAACTAGGACTTTGTTTTCAACCTGCCTCTTCATTTGCGAATGTTTCATTTATTTTGGTGGGGTTTTGCCCTTCCGTGCTTCAATCTTTTCTCTCTCCAATCTTTCCAGCTCCAGAAGAAGGGGGTCAGGTGGTGAAACAAAGTCTTGCCACTTTTTCTGTTGATGAAGTTGAAGAGAAAGTTTTAAATGGATAAACTTTACTGAAATACACATTACCAAGAATAATCAGTGAGCATGTTTAGTTGGGTATAAAGATAAATTTGTCGCCTTCACCTACATCAAAATTATTTTATGGAGGGAGATTGCCTCCCCTTCAAAGGGAAAAATGTTTAGTTGTATCTTTTTGAGAACATGAACACCTCAAAGTCAGTGTTAATTTTACCAGTTTTTACAATATGACTTGTTGAAACCTCTCTTAAAAATCAACATTTTGAACATTCAAAAGGGAAGACAAGGTACTTATGAAGGAATCTACCAGTCTATCAGAATAAATTTGGGACTTTTTCATGCATCCCTTCATTTTCTCACCAGTTCCATGTGGACTGTGACACCAGGAGGAACATTGTCTTGTAGATACTGAACAAAGAAGTCGAATTTGTCAAATGGAACCTCTGCAACCTGTGAATAACAGTGAGCATCTTGATAAATTACATCCAAAGAATTATACATGTAGGAGAAGAATTCCTTTACATGCATTTTACTTTCCTTCTAGGGTCACCTTAAATTATTAAGCTATTACTAGTGGAGATAATTCCGCAGGTGTTCCAGGTTAAAAGGAAAAGTTTGCTCCAGATGTAGTTCAAGATAAAATTTACTTCTTAATGCAGTTTGGAATTCCAAAGAGTAACCTAACCATTGGAAAATTGTCTTGAAATATGCTAAAAATTCTAATTGATCTGAGCTAGCATGATGAGCCTAATTTGCCAGCTTTATATCAAGAAGAACCTTTCTTCCTACTAAAGAAAAGTTTTCAAGATGATATTATAGCAATGGGGTTGCACAACCTAACAGTCGCCTGTTTTGAGGAACCTTGTTTTCGTCTGCCATGTTTTGAGTGTGGTAAATATGTTCAGCATTTCTTTGGTGTAATTTTCAGCCATATAACATATCCTTTCTTGATCAATTATGACCTTGTTTGGTCAACCAGGTTGGGCAATTAATCTGGTCACATTTACAAAACAAAATGTTTGTTTTTTGGCAAAAACTTGTGAAGTATTCTGACATCTTGACCACACAAAACTGGTTAAGAACCCATATATGTATATGTCTCATCTTTGGGGACTAAAAAAAGATTTACATGCCAGTTTTAACTCCAACCTGAATCATGCGGCCATGCTTTTTAAAATCATAGGTGATGCCATCTTTTTTGTAGCTGTCTAATGGGTAGGCCAGTGTTTGACGAAAGGTCTCTGTTACAAGGTTGAATCTAAAACAAGAAAAGACACATTCATTCATAAATGGACCACAAGGAAGGAGGCACTGGAATGTATGAACCTCTAAAAAGAAAACTAGTAAAAGGGCTTCAAAGTGTTATCAGCCACAATAAAATGGTATACATTAAATATCATAATCATTTGACATTTTGAAAGCAAGCTGAAGCTAAAATTATGAAAACCAATAAACATATTACTTTTTTTTCACTTCAAGTTTCATCATTTTGGAAGCACTGGTTACAAACTGGCAGTAATGGTCCAGAACACCATCGTCCAACCCTTCCAGCTTGATCAGCAAATGGTTATAGGCAAACGGGTTTTCCTCAATCTGCAAACAGTTACAAATACACTAGCTAATTTCACAAGGAAACAACTTTACTTGACCACCAACAATATAGAAAAATAACAAAATACAAAGAGTTGTGTATTTAAAAGAAGGCCGATCTAGGCACCAAACAATTAATCTATCATGGGATTTTTCTGAGAAAATAAGGTGTGAGAAAAGGCTTAACAGGCATGGAACTTTAATTGTTCATTCACAACTGCAGAAACTAGAACCTCACAAGGAATGTACATGATTATGACCAGAACACATCTTTAAGTAAAAACCAAAACTGTTACATTTTCCTCAAAATAATCCCTCTGAGTTCTTAGAGTACTTAATATAAAATGTAGATAATCAAATAGTCTTAGATTTGCTTCCTCTTTGGAGCACTGGACCGATGATCATGTACTGCTTCGGGATAAAACAACAACAATCAAAAATACCTCACTATCAGCTTTGCTTGCAAAATCACACCTGTTCTTTGGTTTTCTGTGTAATAGTGGCCTGAATGGTACATCTAACAAATGACATTTTAATATTAAGGAAAACTGCGTCCCATTGTACTCTTGTAAAGAAAAATGATCATATTCATTTTATCTGGGATACTTTACATTTATGTTCCTGTCCACGACAAAAAGCAAGTTGAATAATGTAATTTGTGTTAAAAGGTCTTGTAAACATGGAGTTTGCATGCATGTATGTGGCATTGCTGACAAATACATGAGGGTCCATATGCTCAGCTGCCTGGCCAAAATGATTAAGACATCGATATCACAAGGTGCATGCTAAATGTGTGTAGGGAAAAGTGTTTTAATTTATTATTGACTGAGACAACAATCTTGTCTCTTGCTTAAAGAGATGATTCTCACTTGCTCACCTGATTTATGCCAATAGGCTGACAGGGGCCTCGTTGAGAAAAGTACTAATCTGTAAAAACAAAAAAATACACATGTAATTACACTTTTGGCCAAAGACTTAAGGTTTCCCTGAAAAAAATCTGTGAAGTTTTTCTTTTTTGTAGCACTATTATCTTCATCAGCCCTTTTTACCTCTCTGTTTTATGTCATATGCAAAATTTACAAGCTTTTTGCACCAAGAATGTAACCTGCAGAGTATAACTTCACAAGATCTAGTGCATGCTGACCATGCTGTAGTTGCATGCAATATGACCAATAAGCAGGCCTGCATTTTTGCAGTACTATCTCTTTCTATGCCAGTTCATTTATGAAATACAAAGAATCTGAAGAGCATGATAAGCATCTCAGAGAAAAAAATTTATGTGCAAACTTGCACTACTTTGAGGAACACCCAAGGAAGAGCCAAAACTTACCATGGTATAGATGACAAACGGAAATATTGCGTAAATGAGGAGTTATATTCATTTGATTAAATTATGGATAGAAATTTCTGAAGGTGAATTTTTTTCTTATTCATTCATCACGTAGTTTTCTCACACTCACCTGGAAACAGAGCCGAAATGATGACCTGTAAAATTCCTGAGCGCACACTTTGCTGCAAAGGACATCTGGGGACATGATAAATGAAAACAGAAAGAAACAGCAAATCTTTTTATAAACAAATACATGGACAACAACATGCAGAAAAAACAAATTTCAATACAGCATTCTACAGTATTACAAGTTCACGGCGTGTATATAATGAGATGCAAATAAGTGGCATTGTATCCTGAAGTTTAGCAGTCTGAATAGAAATATTTCTTATGATGCAGTTTAATTTCTTTGATTAAATGAATAGATTTTTGTGGACTCACCTTAAAACTACTCTGACATTTTAAGCACCGCAGCAAGTTAACGCAAGCCGCCATATTTCCGCTTGGTGGCCTGGCCAAGCGATGTTGAAGCTAGTTCCTAGTTTCCGCTCTGTCGCCATTACCTTCCCGCACGCCGCTGCAGTCCAAGTTCGACCAACTACACTGTACTTGCGCTGTACCTGCATTCATCATTTGCACTTACGGCAAGCTTTTGCCAAGTTACCTCAATAAATGCACCATAAAGGAGAAGTTTGCACGCAAACATAGCCAAGAAAGTGCGATCTGGCCATTCGTAGCCAACTCTTCAAGAGATGTGTAGTTCCCAATGAAAATAGCCTTTTACGCTGTTTAACGCGATGTTGTTCAACGCGTCGCCCTACAATCAATCGAGTTCTGCTCGACTGTCGGCCAACGTGCAGGTCAACAAGTTTGCTGGTTCGTCGACGACTCCGCGGTAGTGGTGGTGGAGTGTAAAAACGGTGGAAGTTTGGACTGAGTCGACCCGACCTAGGCCTCACTCGTTTTTTTACTTCACCGCTACTCCTGCGCGTCGTCAACAAACTGAACGCGTGGAACAAGCTAATGAGCTGGTTGCCATTCATGGGACTTTGTAATAAGACAGTTTATTTTGTTGTTGTTGTTTTTTTACTGCATCTATCGTAGTTACGCAATTTTAGAACCATTTAAATATTACTCTTTTTACGGATTAGTTTATTTTTCCTCAAAACGTCATATATGTATATATTTCCTTGGTTTTAATTTGTTCCTAACGATAATATCTGTCTGCCGTATGTTTACAGACATTAATCAATTCTGCCATCTCGATCATCGTTAGCATTATCATCATCTTCTAGTTTGCTTTATATCAGGTATGCGGTCTCATACAACTGTTGTAACCTTGTAGAACTGTGAGATACTAATTCTTTCTTGGCGTGGAGATTGACTCCTCCCATAAAAATCTCTTTCCGAGTGCAACTTATTTTCGCTAAAATGATCCTCATAGAAAACTGTGTCACTGCTGCTCCATCGCTCAGCGTTTTTTGTTCCGTCAATTTTTACGTCTTTTTCCCTTCCAGATGCATCAGCTTTGAACAGGCCCACTGGTTCTGGCTGTTCGAGTGAGGATTTGGAAATCGTTCTAAACTGTCTATCGAGCACTTCACTGGAGATAGATTCACACATTTGTTGTCCAGGGTTCGTTGAGAAAAATTGGTATTTTGAGATTGTGGAACATATCACTGCTATGGCTCTTCTGAAGTTTGGCAGCCTTATAGCGTAAATAAAAGGATTTACTGAACTGGGAAATAATATCGAGAGGAACTGAAAATCTCTTAGAATATGGATTGTTTTGCAGCTGCACGTTGAGCAGAAGTTTAACACATAGCTGAACGACAAGGGAGGAACGGTTAAGACTATGAATGAGGCAAGAAAGAATAGGAATGTTTTTGTAACTCTTGCATCGCGCTTGGCTACTGTCGTCTGAAAATCCTTGCCGTCCGCGAGAGCTTGAAGCTGTTTTCGTTGAATTTGGAGACTGCGGTGAATCTTGTGGTTTACAAAGGCTAAAACCAGGAGTGTAAAAAGAAGAGTTCCATTGGCGAACACAAAGGTGTATATTATAAAGTCAACATACAGATACGTGATGGGACAAACCACAGATATTAGCCAAATGATTAGCGATGCCCTCTTAACTTGCAAAGATTTCAGCTTCAAGCGGTATTTCATGGGAGATGTAACACAAATATAACGATCCAAACTCAAAGCTGCGATGCCCAATACAGAAGCTGAACATGAAATGAAGAAGGAAAGATGCAAAGATTTGATCAGTGGAGCGAACATGATACCTATTCCTTCCAGAAAGTGAAACGCTATGGACAATGGCAGAACGAGTAAACCCACCACAAGATCCGCTGCTGAAATGTTCAACAGAAATAGATTGAAGGGTGATCTGAGTGTCTTGTAAGGATCTTTAGCAACTGCTAAACAAATGAGAAGATTCCCTGGAACTGTTATCAGCATAAGTAGTGAAGAAACAGCAGATGAGAAGAAAGAAAGCGTTGGAGGTGCCGTCGAATTTCGGCATTCCAATGGACCACCAAATACCATCTTGTGCTCTGCAAGTTCAACTGACTTTGATGTATTCTGCGGATCAAAAGCACTGTAAAATTGCGATAACCGAAACACGATAATCGATCGTTGAAGAAATACTCCTTACCTCAGATTTTAAATGAGATAATATGCAGCTGTTTTACGTTAGGACGGATAATTTTAAAATGTAAGTCTTTCCAGTCGCAGCGAATGTGGAATGTCGCTATCGTTACAACTGCTGGTGCGACGAGATTTTCGCTTTAGTAATGATGATAGAACAAAACTGTCCTCTTGAAGTCTCAATTTTTCAAACTCACTGATTTCTATTTATCCTTTTAACGTTTTAACACTCATTATACAACGAGACAACCCCAGAAATCAACTTTATAGTTTCAGCTTGAAGCAAATTAGTTCCGAGAGGCATTTGCTTGCTTTATTCCGGTAGTGCTCAGGTAAAAGGTCTGAGAGATAACCACTGATTGGTCAAAAGACTCTGAAATAAAACAAGCCCGGATGATTGAATATCATCTGACCAATCATTTGACAGACCGTGACAAAATTGTTTTGTCTAAGTCTAAACACTTAAATCTAAAATGCTCTGACAGGTTATGATTAACCCTAGGACACAAACCAAAATTAATATGTTTTCCATGGTGTTTCAGTTAATGGAAAGTTTTGGAAAATGATGTTAAGTGTTTTTTTATCATCAATTACCGCTCTTACAGCGATTTCTGATCTGGCTGAGATTTGAATCTCAAAGGATAGGAATTTTTTAATATTTTATTTCATTTCCTTTAAAATTTACATCATTCTATATCCTAATTTTTCAACTTCTTAAATTTTTGCTTTTTTGTCATTCGTCGAAATTGTCAGTTTCTGCAATTCTTATCAAGATTTCCGATTGAAAATGCTCTTATTCTCCTAAGCCGAATTGTTATCAACACAGTAAGTGGCAGCTGTTTTTATGGAAGTTAGTAAGTTGATAAACACTGACTTTGAAATGGTTCTTATGCTAATTTTGTTAATATCATCGTCGATCATAATTCTTACCGTTTCTCGTTTTTATAATTTGATTTGCTTTTACTTTGGTCAAATGGTGCTCTCAAGAGCACAATCTTTTGCTGTTTAGGGATAATTATGTAGTTCATTTTAACAACTTTATTTACAGCGCATTTTTTTAGAGAAAATGTAGGTTGTAGCCTCGAGAAAAAGAAATAAATTAAAAGACTGCTATAATTACTTTTGTTCGCTGTATTTAAAACAGCTCATAAGAAAGTAAAACTAATCACACAAGCCTTCCTACTGACACAAATATTATTATAGACATCGAGAAATTTCTATAGATTTCGTTGGGACGTGTGTAGATGAAAGGTAGATGAAGAGTGTTCCTCTTCTTCAATCGGCTGTTCTCTGCTACAGTTCAGTGACTTACAGTTGTAAGTAGGTGGATCTCAAGAATGAATAGCAACGTGCTTGATGCTCCCAATATAATCAAAACTCTTTGACTGTGAGAGCACAAACAAATATTTAATGTAAGTAGGTCCAAGGCCAGCAGGCGAACTCTGCACGTCTGCCAATGGAAGTTACTTTCAGATAGACCGAAACAATATTCCTGAAATCCTTTACAATTCTGAAAGACTCATAACAAAGCACACATACATGAGGACTGCTTCAAGAAACGACTTTC